CTTATGTATTTCTCTATAAATGAAGCATAATTTCAATTTAATAGAAAATTTTACATAACCAAGAGTGGGCTTAAAACATTAGACAGTAGTCATTTAAAGCTACAGAGTTGCTGAGGTCTATTAGACCTGTCTAGTTTTAAGCCCACTCTTGGTTATGTAAAATTTTCTATTAAATTGAAATTATGCTTCATTTATAGAGAAATACATAAGGAGATTGGTTTTAAATATACTAACTGGGCTACTCTGTTCCCACTAAAATGCCTTTGAAAATCTTACCTCAAGCTGTGGGATGCGGTGTAAGAATTAGATATTCTTTGTGATCCTTCTCTCTCTAGCATATAGTACTATGATGCTTTCAGTAAAATATGAAGCATTAAAACTTGCACCCCATCCACTGAAATGAATTGAAAATGAGTTATATTTTTATGACCACTGAAACATACCTGCACTTAAAAAATGTTCTTACTGCAACGTGCATTATTGTTTTCCTGGTGCCACTACGAACATTTGGCATGTGAGATAGTTGGGGCCTGACACTCAGGTTGGTAAAACAATTTTGTTCCTCTTCATACCTTTACTCCTGTACTTTCTAAATTTCTGGGAGACCACTGAAAATCTCCAGGGTTGAATTCTTCATACTTTACATCATTCAAATATTCTGCATTCGTGGCATCATATTGGCTTCTGATCCTGCAGCACAGAACCCCAGATTTAAATGAAACATCCCAGAAGATTTCATGCAGCTCTCAGTATGTGGAAAGCTCAGTGGAAAGAGCACTGTGGTCAAACTCAGAAGATGGAAGTTTCATCCTTCTTCCTATGTTTGTTTTGTGGCTTTCTGTGTCAAAGGACTCAGCTTTACAAAGTGCCTTGTTATGTTTGAAGGATTACTGTTATAGCCTGATACTGTTCTAGAGTTTCTGTTTCACCATCCATTAAATGCTAGGTCTATGCTACCTAGCATTTTAGTGAAGTGCATGGACAAGCTTTTTGATGAAAAGCATCACATAACATGTAGCTACTATTAAATGCTGGCCAGATCACCGTGTACTTCATACAGTTCTTAGGCTGGCTCTAAAATCAACGAGAAAACACAAGAGTTTGAATTTCTTCTGTGCTAAAGAACTTTCCTTCTGTGCTAAAGAACATGGACATAGTTTTTAGTCCTTAAAGGGAGGAAACCCAAATCATAGAAGATGCCATGAAGATGCTGTTGTTTGTTATCTATGGAAATACAATGCAGATATGTCACAGCAAGACCATTCCTCTCAATGGCAAAATTTTTCAGCACAAGAGATGTGAAATTTTCCTTTCCACACTTCTCTGTCTGTGATCTCTCTGACTGGTTCCAAGGTGACAGACGACTGGGTGGCAGATTACGTGATGGATAGCTTGATTATTTTAACAATTAAATATGTAATGAAGAGCTGGAAAGGTTCCATGTAAGTCTCATTTTCACCCTGGTTATATATGGTGTGCATAATTAATTTTCAAATATGAAAGGGCTCAAGCAAGAAAAGAAATGAAAGAAAGTTGAAGAGATAGTGAATATTTTATTAAACGTCACTCATTCAAAACTCATTAATATACATAGACCAGGAGTAACCATCTCCTATAAAGTTAAATGCAGTAGTGCTTATTTTCTTGGCAGATTATCTGGTTTGTTGTTGAGAGTAATTGTTTAATATCATCTATGGACCAAACCCAAGCTCATGTGCCTCTCAGGCCATCAGAAGGTGAAAAGTCATGGTTTTCTGTGTGAAGGTCAAAGGTAGCACAAATTTGAAAGAAAGGAGACTTTGTCCTCTGGGTCAATACACAAGTTCCTTTAAAGTCACTAACGACGAGAGATGAGTGAATAGTCTTGTGTTCCCATGTTGGGAAGGTACTTGTGTCCATCTGAAGTTTGGGAATCCCAGCATTGGCTTTTCCTTATTTAAGAACACCATTTCCTGTGCTCATTCTTCAGTATCTAGAGACAGTGATTTCCCGATTTGTTTTCTGAGACCATAGTTCACACAGCCACCAGTTAGAGGAGAGGAAAATGGCACAGTGCTCTGTCACAGCTTTGGACTTAACAGGGCTGATGAAAACTTGGACATTCATCTTGAAAGAAATTCCATTACTTCAAAATTTATGTGTTCTAAATTGCAATATTTAAAATGTCTCTGGTATTTTTTCTGGATTTTTTTTTTAAATTGTGAAAGTGTTTTTAATAATAATCAACTAAATATTCTATTTGAATTTGTTGGATCAAATCTACATATCTGTTTTGGATCCTGTTCGATATTCCTCTGAGCTGTTGAATGCCACAGATCTACATGTTGTGGTCCTTGTTTTTTCCCAAAGGAACTAGGCTACTTTGCCAGACCAAATCCTCCAGATATTCAGATTCAAATATGACCTAATAGGAACTGTATCTCTCCACATCATAAAATCAGGACTTTAAAAACTGTTTTACTTTCAAAAAATTAGCAGGGAAATCATGGCCAGTTCTATAAATTAACTGGTGAGCAATATGATTCATAGCTAGTGAATGCTTTGAAGATGCAAAGTGTTATGTAAATGCCAAGAAATAATAATTATTATAATTAGAATGTTACTAACAATGGAAGGAGAGAAGATTAAACAATGGGCTTCATTATGAAATCCTTTCGAATGAACTAAGGCTGAGGACATTCATTAAATGCAGTGCCATTCCTCTGCAAAAGAAACATCCATGCTCCTGCATGCTGCTTTCTGATCCTAGTGCACATCCTTACTCTTTCAGCATGAATCAGATACGAGCAAGAAACCCGGCATAAGGAGGAAAACAAGTGTAGTAACAGAGGCACTATTATATTCTTGCTGCCAAGAAGAGACTGCTTTTATTCTCAATTACCCAATCATGGCTGGCCTCCAAATTTCTAGATATGTAATCCAAGAGAATTTGAGCTTCTCAGTAAAGCTGGAAGCAACATCCTGGTCCATCTGAAAAGTTAAAATATAACTGTTGTTAATTTTCCTTATGTTATTTCTTCTCACCTGACACTGTGGACATCAACTTCAGTTTTTCAAGAATGTCTTTCTTCTTTGTTTTTCTGAATATTCGATCTTTTAAGAGGCATCACTGGCTGCTATGATTATTATTTACTATTTTTATTTGTTGTCGTCCCTAGAAGCTCTAAGCAAGCTCAGAACACCACCGTGCTATGTGATGGTCAGCTTTTATTTAGCATTTCGCCAAAACCCAGAATAATTGTAAATTATCTTCCAAATTTCAGGAAGATTGATCTTTATCACCTTGCTAAAATAAGGTTTCAATTTCAAATAAGAAGAAGCAGTAATATCTCATTCCTTTGCAATCACTGTCAGCCTACCAATTATGGACTCCCTTACTTTGACAGCTAACCACAGTGCTACAAAGTTCCTGATTGCAATAGGGTTTCCTCTGCATCTCTGGACACAGCTGCCAAAAGAAGGCAAACTCCACTAAAAGTGTGTCCTGAAAAATATTTCACTGACTCCCACTAGTCCTAGTTTACCCCCAAATGTGCTGCTGTAGAAGACAGAAAATGGAAGAGTGAAGAGGGCAGCTTAAAAAGCTATTCCATTTTGTGTAGACAACTGTGACTGCATGAAATACTGCCCCTGTGGTAGTCAATGGCAGCCTCGATGTTGACTTCAACGGGCTATGATTTCGCCACACATGCTTATTGTGTCATATAGCCCAGACACTCATTGTCTGTGGCTGATGGACAGAGATCCAGGCTGGGTGTGGTGAGCCCAAAGGAGACAAAACTGGAATACAGTGTGTCCAATGGCTGGCTGGCCTTATAGCGCTTTCTTCAGTAAGTGTGCTTTTAGTTTATGACAATCTGTGGCTCCATGCGTCAGAAGAGTAATTGCATCCAGGAAAGCACTCTGAGGTTGGGGCTCCTTTGAAGCTCTTTGTGTGATAATTTCTCTAGCATTTGTGTGACTGGTCAAGCTCCCTTCTTGTTTCTTCTCTGTGCTCACTGGCTTTTTTCTGCTCCTACTAAGTCGATGGTGAAGCTGCTGTTGACTGCACAGACTGCTCAGGCAAACTCTGATCTTCTAGATGAGCATCGTATGTTAGAAATTTTGGTTAATTTCCATCAAATTGTGTTATATAACAAATAGTAGTGTCAATAATTTCTGCTAAGACATCTGAGTTGTCATGTTATATCTCTGCATATTATTGAATCAGATCTATTGATCAAAGAACTTGTTGGTCCTTCACATATTTTTGTAGCATTTCTGATGGAATTCTCTGTAAAAGATATCTTATTTTTGGCATAGAGTAAATTTTACCTAAAAATGTGGGTTTAGTAGTTGGTACATTGGTCTTCTATAAAGGAAAAAAGTCTTCAAATGCATTCTTTGTTGTCACTTGCCTTTGATTTCCATTTACCGTTTCTTCAATTCAGGAAAGCTTTCTGTTCTTTAGAATATCTTAACACATGCTAAACTCCCAGAGTCAATTGCCCAAAAACACTTCTCTACTTCTCTGTGATTTTGTGGACAGAATCTGGGTGGAGTCACCAAATCCAGTTTGCTGTCCTAGAGCTATGTGGAATTTGTTGCAAAGAAAATCTTAATGTTGCCAGGAGATAAAACAATCTGTAAAAAAGAGCTAACTTCTCAAGTGAAACAGTGCCAATTTTGAAGCAGCACCATGTGCTGCCAATATCAGCAAGGCATTGTGCAGTCACTGGCTGTTGATAAAATGGAGACCAGTGATTCCCTCAATCAAGGTCACAGATGATAAAGTGCCAAAGGCCCAGCAGCAGGGACAGAAGGCCTAAACATCAGATCAGCTTTTGTGTCTTTCAATAGAAAAATAATTTCAATATTTAACTTCCTTTTCTACCTGAGCCTTCGAGGTCCACAGAGGGTAAGAAGTCACTCAAGTTGTCGTCTGCATCAGTTTTAAGTCATTCTAAGGGATGCAAATGGCTTCCTAACAGGGACTCCTCCTGAGCTTTGTTTGCATTTTCCAGAATAATAATAAGAGCTTTTTAAAGCTTTCCCCTTCACAAAGGGGCTAACATCTTCTGTTCCCTTAGTCAAGAGACTTTTGAAAGAATATGTGGTGCCATACCTTTGGAACATTAAAATGAAAGAGATAATCACTTATTTTCCAGGGATTTTGAAACCAAGATATCGCACATTAAAAAGATCATCTTGAAGAGATTTGCTGATGTGAGGTTATTACAAAATATGATTTTTACAGAGCTCAGCTCATGTCAGGAGCAGTTTCTTTGCAATTATTGATCTATTTGAACAATACTTCTGGTTTGATTGATGGTTTGTTGTCATTATTTTAGAAATATTCACATTGTGTCCAGTCCTGACTAGATGCTCTTTTAGAATTCAGTTAGTATTTTTTCACTAAATATTCATTTTAGGACTGTGTCAGATAACAAGAGGTAAAGGTATGTGCCAAGGAAAGAGATATAACTAGCAATATACTAATGATATATCTCTTCTGGATTGCATTTAAATAACTGTTTATTCATAATGACAAAATCCCAACTGTGTACTGCTTACAATTCTTCTTAAATGAAGCTGGCAGTGGAGGAATATGGTCTAGTTAGCAAGACTGTCCTTGTATGATGGAATAATATAAACATTCCAATAAAGACTTCATTTTCCATCAGGATTTATACTAATCATAATAGACCTCTTCCAACTACATCCCAAAGACAAGATGGTTTGCCCAGTATATGGTGGAGCAAAGTTAGGCTGGCCAAAACCTCAACAATTCTATTTAATGACAAATTTGGAGGTTTCAAGAATGAAAGCAAAACCTCCAGTAATTATTTACACACATAAGCAATGACTCTATAGTTGTCTCCCCCTTACCACTTAGGACTCTCACCTAAGATGTGAGAAATAGAAGTTTGAAGTGTTGAAGAAAAAAAGAGGAAACAGTGCAAAAGTATCACAAAGGAACAGACAGTAGTGTCTCTTCCTATCCTATCTATCGTTCTGAGATTTGTAGTATGTGATGGCTTCTGAATGCATTCTGGTCCCATACTGTCATTATGAGCCTGAAGGTTAGTTTTCAATAACTTCATTCAGAATTCAATCTGTATAGATTCTAAGATCTAAGCAAAAATATCTGGCTTCAAGATCTGGATCTGTGATGGTATTTTACTGATGTTTCAATTAAGTTAGTATTTTCTGGTTCAAAACTCAATCTGCAGGGCTTGAGGGCACATCTTGGTGGCACCTTAGAGCATACTTTGCAATCTGTAGTCTGCAGATTTACTGTAATCAGTGAGTCATATTTTTAAACAATCCTGATCGTGTGCATCCTTGGAGATTCAAAGAAATTCTGAGAGTTGCTGGTGAATTTATGAATTACTAACTTTAAAACTTAAGTGCTACTAAATTTTTGTGCTTTTATAACATCAGGGAAAAACAGACTTTTTGACATAGTCTTATAAAAAATGAGTTTTCTAACTAGAAAAGAAGTTTTCTTCTATCACCTTATCCACTATTTCTATTTTGCACTATGTAGGTTGAAAGTACTTTGGCATAGGGATTGTGTTTCCTCTGATCTCTATAAAATGCTCAACACAATCTAATCCTCATTAGAGCCTAATGCCATAACTGACATCAACTGTGTGCATACAGATTTCTTGCATGAATGAAAATTGACAATTGAATATCCTGATCCCCCAGTAAGTTGTACATATATAGAAAGAGAAATACAGATATATGATTAAACATGTACATCTTTGCATATGTTTGCATGCTGGAGATTTTCTGTATATATTTTAAGAAACAGTTATGCAAAAAGAAATGTAGCTTCATTTGTTTGTCTTTGGTGGAGAAACATGCTGAGAATTTATAGAGGGTAAGGTAGGAGCCTGGGTATCTTGCCTAGTTTAGAAGAGGAGATAAAAGTTTCAAAATACACTATTGGCTCTGGGATACTGAAAAGCCTGCTGCAAGTTAGAGGAAGAAAGAGGTTAGTAGAACACGTCTATTTTCATCCTGTCAAAAGGTTCCTTCTGGCTACCTACAATGCAGACATAACTGACTCTGGAGGAGGGTATCTTTCCATCTCGCTGGGGATACCAGATGTAAAATACAGTTTGCTTGCTCAGCACCATTGCCCCAAAGACTGAGAGAACAGAGGAGTGGGGGAAGGTGAAGGAGAGAAGTCTGGCTGAGCAGAATCAGGGGGGGCAAAAAATTAATTGAATCAAATAGTGAACCAGCTGTCTTCACAGCAACTCGGCTTCTGATGACCCTGGTAGAGCTGCAGTGGATGCTGCAGTGCTCTACAAAATACTCCCTCATTTCAGTTTTAAAAGGCTTCATTGCACCTTATCACATCAAAGCAAAGCATCTGCATGTTTCAGTTGTGGGGCATCATGTGTCTGGCTCCCCTCTGGCTCTCACTAATCCCCTGGATTATCGCAGCTCTCTAAAGCAGCTCTTAAAAACCCTGTGAAAATAGTACTCCAAGTGGGTGTGTGAAAAGCAGGGACTGAAGCAGTAGGGCTGCCTATGCCTATGGAATTCGTATAATCACAGCCTATGATACCCAAAAAAGGTGTTGAAAAGTCTGCTTTTGCACTAGCTGATCCCAGACAATACTGGCTCTCAGCGAGACAAAACAAAATTGAGTCTGGTTCATTCATTTGCTGGACCACATCTGAACCACTGCTATGAGTTATAGCTCATGCTGAACACACCTATACATTGCTTCTGAATGACCTTCCATCATTCAGGTTTTTTACTCTCTTTTCCAAAGTCACTATCTGCAAATCAGGGAGTTCTTCAAGGTGATGATGCGCAGGCTGCAGAGAGGGGAGATGATGTGGGAAGCCTTTGCTATGGAGGTGGCACCTGATTCTCATAGGACTGCTATCCCAGTGGTTCAGGTATGAAAAACAGAGGGCTCCAGCCTGTACTATCAGTCCAGCACCTTTCATAATCCTCAAATCAACTTCAGAGAAAAGAAGGCAAGCAATGAACGCAAAAGGCAAAGCTTTCCCTAAGTAAAGAAGGTGAAAAGTTTATTCAGACAGTATGGCTCTTCCTGTCTTAGATCTAGTGGCTGGTCATTCCCAAAGGACAGTATAATAATCCCCATGCAAGTCATGGTATTGAGAACTAAATGATAGTAAACCCTAAAGTCTTCAGTAGTCCATGAGATTTTTTTTCTTTTCTCTCATTAAAAAAATAAAAAAAAGATTATGCATGTCTGACATTGACACAAAGTCTGGAGAACTGACCCATAAAGTAATTAGAAGAGGAATTCACCCTCTGCTCTGCCCCCCTTCCCCAACCTTTCCCATCTCAAAGCCAGATCAGATGAAAGGCAAGCTCTGTTTACTTCCTGATCTGTCTAATTTCAGTAACGAGGACCATCCCGACTTCATCTTCCTGCAGCTGCTAGAAGTGAAACTCAAGAGGCTGCCGCAGGCACTGCAGCACCTTCTCAGAACTGCTTGACCTTAATGGATTAGCGTTTCCCTGAGCAGGTGGCAATTTAAAAAGAGGAGACAAACTTTTACACTTAGGAGACCCCTGGTGAATGGCATCAAATTTCAGAATGTTGAAACAGAGCAAAGAAACTTACGATGCCTTCCCACCTAACCCTGTGCCACCTTAACCCCCTTGCTATGCACATAAGTTACAGCTTTCCAGTTAGGATCCTAAGTCCACTTATTAAGGAATCAAAGTAAAAATGGCCTTATATTCTTAACATGTCGTACCCTCACAAATCCTGTTGAATTAAAGGAGAGCAATGGGTCCTTTGATTTCAGTCTGCTTAAGTCTGAGTGTCTGAATAGGGTGTTAGGAGTATTATTTTGGGTTCTTCATTTTGCAAGTATGTGCCACAGTAAATACATCATAGTAAAAGCAATAATAGTATCTTTTTTTTTTTTGAGGATGTAATTCTACCAAATGATTCACAGTTTAAACTGACAGCACCAAATGCATTGTACTATGTTTTCAGTATGTAGAAAAGTAGAAAAAATGCTAGTTTATTTTAAAAAAGAAAAAAAAAAGTATTTGTTGATTCCACATCAGCCCTAGCAACAGACCAGGTTCTACTTTCTTTTAGTGTTTTCCACTGTCTACTCTGATTTGTTTCTTTAAGGATGCATCATAATAATTACAAGTCAAAACTATCAAACAGATGTCCAAGATTTGATAGCCAGGTGTCAGATACCATATCAAAACCTAAAGACAGAGATACCTCTCCTTAGGCTTCTTTACACTAGCTCAACCCCTATGGCTTTGATGACTTACAAGACCATACTGGATATGTTTTGAAACAGGTTAGTGCTGTGTATTACTAGATTTTCCAATCAGCAGCTAAGAAACATGGGATTGTTTTTTACCACAATAGGAAGGAACATTTCTAGGAGACAGGCAAGATGGTAAAGCAAAAGAGGAAAATGAGTGATAAATTGTCTTTTTTTCTTATAAATAAACCTGTTACTTTCTGAATAGTCTGTTCTTCTCAACAAGACGTAGGAATCTCATATAAATATGCACATACATATGTTTATATATTTATTTTTCTGTATGCATTTGTGTATAGTGTTACATATACATATACATATATATCTTTGCGTGGATATACATAATTCACATATAGTTGTGTCAGATATTTATTTACCAGGTATTTATTTCCTAGCTCCAGTAGTTTCTGTGTGTTTCTTTATAAGCAGAATATATTTTGTGTATTTTAGAGTTGTCATGTCAAATGACTTCAGTGGAAAACACTGACATACTCTTCAGTTAAAACTTGCAGTCATTTAACATCAAGGACATTGTCCTTATAAGACAATAATGTCCTGAGAAGCATTGCTTCTGGGATTGCATTCATATGATTGCCCAGTGACATCTAACTTTTCTGAACATATCTGGCTCTATATTGTCTGGCTCTGTCCCCAAAGACCTGTATAGCCATACACGATTCATGAATATTAAAAGCACGATTATACTTTTCACCCCAGCATAGTTCATCTGTCTATCCAGATATGTATGTCAGCTATTTTAACTGAAGCTGTCTCCCTGACTAGTACCTCACATATAGTATCTGCATGACTTCATGAATACATCAAAATTGTAAAGCTGCATGTTCTACATGCACATTTCTGATTTTTTTTAGTAAGGGTGAATTCCCCAGGGCCTGCGCAAAGCACGAGTGAAAGTAACTGTCAGAAAGAAAGATTAGCAAAGATGAGATCTGTGGATTTCTCCCCTAGTTTGGTGGGGGCCCCTCAGCCAGCACTTGCTGATACTGTGTCTATGCTGGTTTAGTGTGCAGTGACACATAGCTTTGCAGGTATACCCGCATAAAAAAACCTCCCATCCTCTACTGGAAGAAAAGTACTGTAGAACTTTGCAATAGAAGCCAGCAGGTTCCAGCATATGGCTTGTTTTCACTCTGTTCTGTGGATCTAAGCTCCATGCTCTTGGAGACCTCCTTTGTGGACAGCCCAGTGGGTGCAACTCCTGGTCAACATACTCAAGTATTTTTTCTGCCATAGACAGTAGAGCCACTACATAGCACTGAGTATCACAGATACTTTATGTTGGGAGGGAGGGGAACAAAGAAAAAAACAACTCCGCACAAACATACTCAAGCAGCAAACATCACATTTTCTTTTTCAAAATAAAGAGAAATTCAAAATATCTCTTTCCCTGAATCCAGCTAAATATGCAACCCAGCAGTGGATTCCTACAAAATGGGTGAATTTCAAAGTGATGCAGGATGTAACAGAGACCAAGGTAGTTTTGTCTTCCACCACTCAGAATCATAACCAAAAATAATCTGTTGAAATTACACTGGAATAAAATATTTTAGGAAAGTAAGGAAATATACATAAAATATATGCAGTTCCAAAATATTTTACCCATAAATTTCCTCTGCATCTGTGAAACTGGACAAACTTCAGTCATGCCAGATGCAGAAGCAACATTAAAACTTAATTTCTATTCAGTCAGTAGTTTGCTTCTTTCTTCCAAAATATAAAATTAGGCGAATTCACATGCCTGGAGAACTTTCAAGAGCTAACATATGTGACTATGATGTGAAACAGTAATTTATTTGTATTAATTTTAAACATGCAGTGATTGGAAAGAGGGAGATATTACAAGAGTGAAGTAAAGGCAGAAGTATTCAAGCTAATACAGAGCACACATCTTTCAATTGCATTAGAAATCTCACATATATGTGAGATTTAGGGAAATCCTGGAAATTTCTGACACTTCCTTAGGTTTTGGGGTCTATAAACTAATTAATGGATGGCATAATCTCTACAATACAATAGATAGATTTTTTATTTGTGGCAGATATAATAATGATAGTTTCTTTCATTAACTTTTAGTAATAATCTTTATTTAATAATTAATAAAAGTATAATTTGATACAGTAAAAATTAAAAGTATTCTTCATTTCTCTGTAATGTTTCAGAAAGACCTGTCAAAGGACAAATGATAGCAATTGCTTACAAAATACATACATTAGTCAGATTATGTGTAGACCTTTGCTTTACAACACCTAAGGGCCTGATCCTGATGACAGTTTACAACACAGTTACTATTCCGAATAGGAAACTTTTGACTTGTTAAAAGAAACCAGTTAGATATAGCCGGCATCCTTGCATGTTATAGCTTAAAATGTGTGTGAATACTTTTGTTTGAACAGTGAATGCCGTGCTAACTGTTGGTGAGATTTCACCCAGAAATCCTTCAGCACTCTCCATCTAAATTATGGTATCAGTCTTACTGCATAAAATAATATCTCCATCATTAGATAAACAGCAGGACTTTTCCCATGAAGAGCTGTGCAGACAATTCCTACCAGCAAAGGTTCTGTCAACTAATAAGTCACTGTATTAAGTGGGGCAGGTGTATTCTCCCAGTATCTCCACTATAACATTACATTGACATGTCACAGTCTTGATGCATTTAAATTAGCACTGCAGATAAGCCATTCTTCTGCTGTGAGGCTGCTGCATCTTTCAGAGGTCATCCCTAAGCCAAAAATGAAGCTTCCACCTTCAACCAAAGCCCTCAGTTAAGCCAAAAGCCTGCAACAATAAACAGTTAAGTTGTTCTGACATGATCAGCAAACAAGGCCTATACACCTTTCCTTAAACTATGTTGTAGTATTTAACTCTTCTTCCAAAATCATAATGTAATAGCAGTTATGCTTTCCCAGAATTTTATGATTTTGGTAGAGGAAGGATGGAATCATTTCATATGGCTAAATCTTAACATAAAGAAAGTTAAACATTGTTTTACACTCATTACAGAAGTTAAAAGTGAAAGCATGATTACTTTTACAGTCTTGATTTGAAATTCTCATTGTTCTGCATATAAAGCAACCTTAAGAATATGGTGTATGACTACATATATACTATTAGATGGGTCTTCTACTGCAAGTGAGTACTTGCTGTCTTTAAAAGGGCTAATTATTAGACTGCGTGTATACGAAAATATTTGGTTTTCATCGTAACCATTAGAGACCATGGCATTTTCTGTTCAGATGCTTCCTACCCACAGATAGTATCTGAGTTTGGGCTGGCTTTTCAGTCAAAAAACAGGAAAGGAATGGCAAAGAGCACTGAATTTTTAATAAAAAAATAATAGCTTTAGTCTTCCTTACTCAACAGTTGCAAAAGACTGAAACTTCAAAGAAATATAAGTAAAAGATGAAGAATATATAGTGGGGAAAAAAAACCAAAACCAAACCCAAGAAAGTCTCTTAGCCGTCCCCTTACAGGTGTTCTGTTTTCCTACTTCAGACCTAAATCTGCAAGTGGTCACTGAGATAGCTAAAAGACTGGGAGGCCGTTATAAAGAAGAACGAACTCTGGAATGAAAAAGAGATTGGTTATTGGCAAGGATCTTTTTCAGGACAAAACAGAATAAATTTTGCATTGTGCAAACTTCAAATGCTGTAAAACCGGCTGCTAAAATAAGTGTCTGTGGGGAACAGGCCTGACTTGGGTTAAAAATCAGAGAGCGGATAAAATCTTTGTGAAAAAAACCTCTTTCCTCACCTTGGGAAAGATGTTTATTGTGACATGAGCTGGCATTTGGAGATTCTGTGTGTTACACCATAATTGCGCACCTTTCCTAACAGGATAAAAGAAAGCCATTTGCATGAAATTGCTAAGAAACTTGGTCTCAGGCCTAATGAAATTAGGAAAATACTTGCTTTGATTACTGTGAATGCAAATAACTACTGTGAATTACTGTCTCTATGCCCTATGGATCAAAATGATCATACTCGATACAGTGATTTTAAAAAGGAACCATCACTCCTGAAATTTTTAATCCTAGATATTTTTATTCGTGTTGGCAAGAAACTGAGTATTTTTATAAGGGACTAGGTCTTCAAGTGTTGCAAAAAGACACCTAATTGAATTTCAGAATGACTGACAAAACTTGATTATTTTAAAATTCTCCAAAGTAAACACAAACATTGAAGTACTTGGAATTGCATGTATATGAGATCTTAGACTACAACATCTAAAAGTACCATCTTCTATAGACCTTAGGACATTTTTGTTGCTTGATGTGTTTAGAGAGTTATGGTACTCACTTGTGGGGTTTTGGGTTTGGTTTTGGTGTGGGGTTTTTATTTTTTTTTAATTTCTATTTTTTTATTGTTTTATTATTATTATTTTATTGTTTTTCATTGTTTTAG